CCTTTGAGATATAAAAATATACAAAAAAACCCCCATAAAAATGACTTTAAAAACATTGGTTGATCTTTAAAATACAAAGCATATTATATGTATTTATTTAATTGCTTAACTCGGACAATGTGGCACTGATCGGCGATTTAACATTGACTTATTTAATCGCATTCATAACGAGTATCTAGCGACGGCAGTACTGAAACGTTTGAGCTGTTGGTCAATTGGCCTTTGGTGTATACAATGTGGCATTGATTGTTGTTTAGCTTTTGTAGCGTAAAGAATTTTTATTATAAAACTGCGTTAAATGTTTATCGCGGACATACTGAGAACTTTACGTAATGATTCCTTAAAGAAATACCGGATAAGAGCTCTTTCAATGTAGTGATTGGCTTCATGATTCTGAGACGCAACTTATGAATACCTCAGTAGATACAATGTCCACATTTCGAAAATCTTCAGAGAAATACATATATGACTGACAATGATTTAATTTCTTCAAACATAGCCGTTGCTTGCTGTATGCTCCTGATGTGTTTCACATTTGTAAATACACCAATGTTGATCCAGTAAGATCCAGTAAGATGCTGCCTCCATGGTGAAGTGGATAGATTATCTGCCCGGAAGGTCGCGTCATACCAAAAATACGTTAAAAGATGCTACTTACTGTTACCATGCCTTGCGCTGGGCATTAAGGAGATACAAGAAGGACTCGAAGGGCTCGGAGTCAGTATTTTCCGGTGGGGTAGCCATGTCATACTGCGGCACGGTATATCAATGGGATATATAGCACTTATAACCGGACTAATACACGCAGCCACACAGCCACACAGACACGTACATGCATATCGCTGTATCTTGAACCTGTATGGTCATAGGTCGGTGCCAAACTTTATATTGTCTTACAGCTTGGTACAGATGCTGCCGATATCTTTGGAAGGATACCACGTGTCTCTGCTTCTTGCATCTGTACCATTTAGGAAGGATATCACGTGTCTCTGCTTCTTGCATCTACACCATTTCTCTAATCCTTCAAGCCAAACGTTCTATGAATTTGTTCCATCCACACTTTTCGCGAACACCTGGTACCATCATTTATGTAGAGTGATTTAGAAACACATGCTCATGGTTTAATCGGAATTGTACAATGGAATAATTTCTTATGAATATGGACAGGATTTTGTCGCTTTTATAAAATACTCTCAAAATATAGATACATATGAAAATAGATAAAACTGTCGCTCCTCAGTAACGACTTGGCTTTACTTGCAAAGAACGAAGCAGCCGTACCAAGGGTGGCTGAGATGTGAATGAGCCTAGCTATGAAGGATGTATAGTTCACACTTAACAGTTTGCATGTTACACATATCTAGAAATAATCGAAGAGAGGAGGTTCTCTTAACCAGACCTCGTCTTGGGCATTGTGGTCTTGGTGCTTATCTAAATGTTATTAATAAAGACATCTCTGCACATTGTACAGTGTGTAATCAGCTTGATAATGTAGCTCATTTTTTATTGCATTGCCAAATGTATGTTAATCAGCGTAAGGCAATGGTGGAGTCTCTAACAGTTCTCAATATTGACTTCTCATTGTCTGGTATTTTATGTTCTTGGAATATTGCTCACCATGACGTTCAGAATGTCATTCTCGCTTATATTAAAGCGTGTGGCAGTTTTGATACTTCATAGAATATCTAGGTACTTAGCAAACCTTTATTATGGGCAAGGTGTAAATGGGCCTAGTTCCCCGAACACCTATAAAATGATCAATCAATCATGTTTATTAAAGTACAATACTTCCCATGATGTGACCAAATACACAACCAGGCTGCATAGTTCTGCAGCCATCAAAGTGGCTAGGCATTCTCTGTTGATGAAAATTAACAAAATTTGCTTCCGCTCTGTCATCTAGCTAGTATCTCAAACTGAAAGGGCTAACTTAAACAGCTATCCGTGCTCACAAGGTGTCAACGTTAGGGTCTACAGCAACGAGTGAGTGAGTGAGTCGGGTTTAACGCCGCTTTTAACAGTATTCCAGTTATATCGCGGCGTGTCAGCTTAATGAGGGAGGAAAGCCCGAAGTGATGCAGGTCTCAGACGTTTACCACTTCGGTGAAACCCACGAGCACGGGTATGGTGCTGACAAACCTAGAAACATAATTGGGGCGAACCGGGATTCGAACCCACAATCATAGGTTTCTGGCGTGCCCAAGGGACGCAACTCTGCACAGCGAATCGCGGCGCCTTAGACGACTGGGCCACCCGTGCCCCCGTACAGCAACGAGTTCAAGATGGGAGAGATAGACTCCCACGATAATCAAAGATCAAAACTTACCTTACAATTTATAAAGTCAAAGAGCTTCAACCAAACGACAACTAACGCAACAACGCCTCTTGACCAGACGCAGACCATTTCCCTTTGTGAATCTTTTCAACTGGTACACAGTACAGGTAACTAACGCCTGAGTATCTTTGTTGTAAAAGATGACATGTTGGGTGTGGCTGATATTGAATAGGGCGTTGAGAAAAAACTAATGCTTTTGTTCATTACACATGTTTGACATGAAGTCGACGATTGATTGATAATCAATAGACATTGCACACTTATAGCCTACATGCTCGTTACCCAGTTACATGGAAGTATTAGTCACGTAAGCGTTGGGTGTTCTGATGCCTCCTTTACTTCCATGTGTGATTGAAAATTAAATGTGTGTAATATTTATTTATTTGTGTGTGTGTGTGTGTGTGTGTGTGTGTGTGTGTGTGTGTGTGTGCTTTCGATTATGTTCGTATATTATTCTTGCCAATTTATAAAATGAATGATTTAATGATTTTAAGTGCCTCATAGATCCATTATGGGTCAGCTGATGTTTTTATATATCATACGTATGTATACGTGTAATGTTTTTTATTGTCTTTAAACACCAGGTGGCACTGTAATAAAATAATTTTCTTCTTCTTCGTTACTGGAACTTCTATCTCATGTGATTAATCCTCAACTGTGTAGTTTCGGCACGTGCACTGGTTAAAGTTCAACCAAACATGTGGTAGCTATTGATAAATTCAAAACGTCTACACCAAAGAACAAACACTCCCAAAAATCTGCCGAAACTAATTCCACAGGGCGTGAAAGGCAAAACAGTGCAGAAAATTACATGAATGGATCACTCAAAATGTGGTGACATCATTATGTAATTTCTTCCTCAGTGTTAAAGAGGCTATCAAGTAAGCACGTGTTCATTCGCAGTCCTGGCAAATTTGATTCAAGTCCCCTGAACACAACTTTGTATCATCATGTCGACTTGTTTAATTTTACGATGTATAATATGACACCTAATGATTAATCTAATTTTATGTCCATATTTTAAACAAACTTGGGAACAGCCCCCCTTCAATACAGTTGAATAATTTGCTGTACATTAGTAACGCACAAGCTCTGCGTTTATAATCAACAAGGTCAGCCCTTGCAAGTGGTAGGTGCGTTTCGGTACAGACAAACTGACAATCTACATCAATTATAAAACAAACACAACAAAACAAATGATTTCACTTTTATTTATGCTAAACACAAATTCAAAATTTCACGGAAAATGTTGTGCCGTCACCAGGTTTCATTGTGTAATCGCGTCTGTCACTAGTGTAGGGAGCCTGCTCGCCTCTTGATGGGCCTAGCGTCGGTCTTGTTGGATGGTTGAATGCCTGGCGGATCAAAGGTCGCGGTGTCAATAACAGGGGGACCAGTTACAGAAGCACTGGGTCGTCTCGATTTTCTCTGAACGATTGAGTCTACTGTATCCGCCATTTTCTTTGACGTCCTCTAAATAAAAGGATATTTTGCTTGATTCTATAACATAAACAATTAATTTTCCATTATATCAAAATGCAACTTTCGTTTCCTCGTCAGCTAAGCAGTACAACAGGGGCTTGTAACGCAAAAAATAGCAGCTACAAGATATATGATCACACCCAGTGTCAGTATAAAAATATATACAGTATACTGACACCAGATGAGACCATATATCTTTACTGGATATATAGAAATATTATTTTGGATTCGAACCCCGGAACTCTTGATCCAAAGTTGGGCATTCGCCAAAATGCATTACCGCGTCCTCTAACATCCACGGTAATGTTGCAGCTACAAGCAGATTAGAAAACAATATATATATGATCCAAGAATTGTGGGAAAAACACAAACGTATAGGTAAAGTTTATACCTTGTAACTTTGAATTGCAGCCGATGTATATCCCGTCTTCTCGGCAGTTAGCTGTTCGCCTACTCCGCTGTCGTAAAGCCGAGTTGCTGATGTTGCTATGAGGGAATGATTTGTGTAAAATCCGCTAAACCCAGCGGTCTAACAGGGAGGTGCAACAGTTGACCGGAGTGAATGAATCCCAACGGCCGCATCAGCATACCAAACTTTGCCTGCAGTATATCATGACCGGCAGAAATAGAGGGCGACACATTTTTCAAGTACTGGTCTGAAAACAAAGTGAACTGTCATCAGTTCATGCAGCTGACCGTACACAGTACGTAGTACATAAGACCATAAGAACGTATATTGATAGTCATCCAAAATATGTTAGTCAGGAGCATGCTACACAGACAGGTAGAAGTCCAATGAGGAACTACTTCGTCCTTTTCACAGTATGAGTTGTGAGCTTGTGAACATGTGAGGCATCGTTCAGGGTGTTCCTCCATTCGTGACCAACTCGTGTTATTCCGGGACAAGCCGAATAGCGACTCGTGCCCCTCTCGTGGCCATTTTTGCGACCGGGTTCCGTCTTAGCGCAAACGGGCATAACTAAAACAATTGTCAATTCGTTGCGTAATGGTTCACATATATTTCCCCATATATTATATATATTTCAGATGCCTTTTAAAGCACATCGGGACGTGCGGAATTATACAATATGATTGAACACATTTAACTGTGTCTTGGGTATATTTTTAGATGCAAGACATATGTAAAATCAAAAATTATTTCTGAGGGATTCTTTGACGAAGTACTTGAAATCATACGCGCACTCTGATTGGTTTGTCGTATTTTCGCACATAACATTCATCGATAGGGGGACGAGTCTTCTTGCAGGTTACGGAAAGGGGCGAGTGCTGACGAATGGGTGTTCTTCATTACTAGGGATGGTCACGTGTTTCCTTTCAACCGTCCTGTTCTTTAGCCCCCCTCTGTTCGTTTTGGAAATGTTCTCAGTATATTTCAACTGCTTGACGCCATTGCAACAACTGATACTGTTAATTTGAACCACTGCTTTGGTATCTGTGTTCATCTCCTGCCCTAAGATCAAAGTTCAACCCGATTAAATAGACGAGAGTGTCCAAGAATTTCTGTGCTGTACCTGTCTCCCGAAGAACATCTTCCTGCCGTTCAGTGGTTACATTCGCTTGTCCTTTTTCCCATCCCTTTCCGAGCTAGTTATTTCATCTTTGAGAACGTATCGCATACGGTGTAACAAGATGACTCAAAGAAATTGATGACAAACCCATTCCTCCTTAAGTAACACTGAAGAGAAGACACGATTTCGCAAAGAGTGTTGCCTCGGCACTCTTCACGCTTTGGGTTTCGAACCTCCGTCATAAAATAACATTAATGTTCTGTTCAGATCATTTTCGTTTTCAGCTGACGACACTATGTTTTGAATTGCCTTTGGAATTTCATTATTACTGCGTTTTTGCCTCTCATCAACCCAATTCTCGAAAATATTCAAAGTCCACCTACTATTATGTTCAGTGTTCACAGAGTATGCCGAATCGCATATATCTACCATATCCGTTTCAGAAAGGGGAGTACCGAACCGACGCTCTTCATTGTCCAGATTGGTTTCTAACTGCGTTACGTGTACAAAACGTTCATTGTCACCTTTTTAACGAATCTAGTATTTCAGAATGTAACTGTCTCTCAGACACAAGTGTGACAATAATTCCTGATTCTTCAATCGTCTGACTTGCCAAGTATAGTTCGGTGTCGCAATTGTCATCAAAGTTATCCTGATTTGTATTACACTGTTCAGTGTCAACGCTCTTGTCCGTAAATAATCTGCCCAATTCAAAATTATGACAATAAAATCTTCTTGAAAGTTATCCATATACAGTAATGTTTCAATATCGGAGTTCACAACCAAATATGATTACAATATGTGTTCTGATACGCGGAGAATTCATCACCACAATCCTAACGGCCTCCAACCTGCTTCAAGTGCGAAACTAAGGCGAGTATGGGGACATTTGTCTTCACACAAAGTGAACCAGTTAGCAATCAGGCACTGAAAGGACAAGCGTGCAACACTTCTATGTATGACAAAATATATAACAGTGTGGCCAGATTTGTGCGCTATTAAATGTTGAGGGACATGTTCCCGTGTGGCGTCTGGCATGTGGAACCTCCGGAAGAACCAAACTGCAACACCACAAAGATGTAGGTCACAACCGTTCCAAACATCTGAAAGATAAAGTGAACAACTGAGGCAAACTGGAAACAAAACCCCAATGTCTTAGGGATTCGTTTTATCTCTCTTACAAAAACAGACGCCTAACCAAAATAATGGCTACGAAGTCTCTTGTGACTGTTAAAGCGTTATCATTGTTTTGACTCACTGTAACTGAACCAATCAGGAGAAAACATAATGTGTTTTCATTGATATCCATTGCCCTCATTTACAGAAGTAATTATTATTGACCATGTGGCAAGTGTGATACACGCACGCAGAAACGTACGTACTCAATAATACATGGCACGAAGGCACCATCTACCTAACAAAGCACAATTCTTGTAATTCTTTAACAAATTATTCCATCCATGGCCAATTTAGATGTGTGTTTGTATAACAGTTATTCATTGTCAACTGATCAGTTGGACTAAATAGGTAAATAGAAACGTTGTAATTATTACCAATTTCAACATATTGGATTGAATGACAGACTGATTATTTTCAATCTTGTATAATTCTATATATACTTGTAGAAATATAGGTGTGTAATAAATGAAAGTGAAAATAGATAATGCTAACACATGACAGATATATAGAGAGGTTTTCACGCGAGTGGTTTGTTGGTTTGTTGTTGTTTAACGCCGCACTCCAGCAATATGCCAGCTATATGACGGCGGTCTGTAAATAATCGAGTCTGGACCAGACAATCCAGTGATTGACATCATGAGCATCGATCCATGAAATTGGGATCGATGACATGTATGAAGCAAGTCAGCAAGCCTGACCACCCGATCCCGTTATTCGCCTTTTACGACAAGCATAGTCACCTTTTACGGCAAGCATGGGTTGCTGAAGACCCATTCTACCCCGGAATCTTCACGGGTCTATCACGCGAGTGTGCTTTGGGATGGTAAAGATCCTGTATTAGGAATAAACATTTTATTAAGCGCGCCTCCTGTGGCATTCTTAAATTCTGTGCTCGAAAAAACTCTTCCCATCTCTCACAAATATTACCTACACATTGCAAGTTTTCCTGGAATGTGCGCATTAATCTATATTACGTAAGAAGGTAAGTGATGAGATGACAGTGATGATAGTCAATATAGTTTCAATTGAAACCTGTTTTTTTTATGCAGTGGCGTAACTACATATACGCAAAACAACAATTGTCTTCACACATTGTTTCCACTTGCCTTTCGCGGCAATCCATCGGTCTGTCCGCTAGAGTAACTGCCCTTTGTCAAAGGGAAGCTACTCTAAACCTAGCCTATGAGACGTCACGTTTGTTTAGAGTCTGCCTCTCCTGTCATAACGTTACGAAGTGCAGTCGGATGTACACACAGCGACAAAACGAAACAAGGTAACAATTCTGATATATTGCGATTAAATCTAACCGTTTTGATTTGTGGATAAGGTTCCAAGCGTCAGAGGTCTACAAGTGACAGATATGTAAACTGATCCCGCTAGGCTAGTATCCTCGCTAAATTCTTTCGCAATTGTATCTCCAAAGTGACCAAAAATTGCAAAATGCCTTAGCTATGCCACAGTTAGACACTGATTTTCAGTATATCAAAGTATTCTGTTGATAATGATAGCAATTATCCCAGTAGTTTCTCCAGATTCCTGATAGTTAATTGTGACTCGATCGCCGATTGTCATGGGCGACACCATGTTTGTTTGTGAACATTAAAAGTAGTCCCTATTTGACTTTTGATATTCATATCTATCCGCATGTGACCCAAGCCTATATCGTTTGTATCCGTTGGCAAAATCCTGCCGAGAAAACTACCCATTATATGATTATGGAATATATGCGAAAAAATGTTCTAATTGCATTAAGGCTATAGTCGTAGAGATGTAAAGTGACAAATCAGTTTACAACTATTACAGTCCAGTTTTTCTGTAAAATGTCAAATCTGTACACACTCCTAAATAATTTCTACATGTTTTCGTAGGGGAAGAAACATATTTACTGTTTACTGATCACATATTGCAAATATCATCATTTAGTGTTTAAATGCCTACGAAGATATATTAGAATGTTAAAAATGTTTGGTACTAATATAACAGCTGCAGTGGCATAGTCTTTATAGCGTCTGACCGGAGACCGGAAGGTCGGTGGGCCGATGCCCTAAGGGCGTTGAACAGAGTGAGTGAGTATGGTTTTACGCCGCTTTTAGCAATATTCCAGCAATATCACGGCAGGGGACAGAAATGGGCTTCACACATTGTACCCATGTCGGGAATCGAACCCGGACGAGACGAGCGAACGCTTTAACCACAAGGTTACCCGACTGCCCCGCGTTGAACAGAAAGATTCGGAGTTGGTAAAACGTGTCTACGTGAGGAACCGATATTGCACGCAGTTTAGGGGCCGTTGTCATTGTAATTATGTCTTCATATGAACAAAAGAATGTTTGCACATTCAATGAAACAATCTCACCCCCATGAGTGTTGGAAGGTTGATGGTGATTAGGCCGTAGATACTGAAGGCGATTGGTTCTCCTGTCAGTCTGGAAACCCACAGGTTCAACTGAAATAAGATTTCGTAAATTCATGTAGGCAAAAGTTTGACACAAAAGAATAATCTTCTAATCTATTATATTATTTCAATCCGGTCATTAGTTCGCGGGCGTGAGTGTTAGGTTAGTGTGTGATATCAATTATCAACATGCCGTGTTCGAATAATTCGAAGTATTATAAATCGGTTATCGAAAACTAATTTTCAAACTGTTCCTGTACTACCAACAGCAAAACTGTTCACACACGATAAAACAGCAACTGAAATCTATCTGCGTCAAACTGTGGATTAAACACTGTGTTCAAAACGTTTCTAAATTTGACTTTCGCCAAACTAATAATATTTCACACCTTACCATTCTCCAACTGATGCCTGGGTATAACAGTAATTGTAATAGTGTGTCTCTATCTGATGGGGAGTGTTGGGAGTGTGTCGCTATCTCATTGGTTGAAAATTGTCGTTAAATGGGATTTTAGGGACGGAAATCTTCAGGGCTACGTATGAATACTTTTATTAATATCATGTCCCAAATTTGGAAAAGTGCAGCCAGGCAATGCGAATATCACTATTAATATGTAAAACCGTTATTGTAACGTAAACGATATGACGTCAGTGTCAGATATAGAAAAGTGCCAAACTGCATTTGAAGGAGCGGTCAAATCAGATAGAGGAAATTAATGCATTGGAAGGAGCGGTCAAATCAGTTAGAGGAAATTATTGTGATTTGAAACATCGGGTTGACACGGTGAATGCGACTTGGGCACGCCAGAAACCTATGATTGAGGGTTCGAATCCCGGTTCTCCCCGATTATGTTTCTAGGTTTGTCAGCACCATACCCGTGCTTGTGGGTTTCACCGAAGTGGAAAAAGTCTGAGACCTGCTTTCCTCCCACATTAAGCTGACACGCCGCGATATAACTGTAATATTATTAAAAGCGGCGTTAAACCAGACTCACTCACTCACTCTGAACAAAGGCGTCAACAAATGTGGTAATGTGTCCCAACGTTATATAATGCACATATAGTTTTGAAGAATTACATTCATATTTTCATGGTATGTTTGTTTTATGCGCGCACTCCTTAAATAACAATAGCAGTAGCTAAATGATGACAAACAAGTGATTGATATTGTGAGGACCTCTCGACGCCGTCGGGACACGCAGCTAATTAAGTCAACCCCCGATCCATTCACTGTTTCAGCATAGGTAGCTGGGGATCAATTCTAACCCGGGACATGGGTATTTTCAGAGGGCCGGATTTGATAACCCCGAGGCGATAGTGTTAGCTCGTCACGCCGACGACCTGATTTCAATTTCTCACAAGGGTACAATTTGTGAAGCGTACGCTTGACATTCAAACTGTCCATAACTTCTGTCATACAACATTTACATTCTCCGCTTACCTTTTGAAGTCCACGATCAGAAAAATGATTCTTGTTCAGCATCCACAAGTGTTGCAGCGGAGCGTGGGCCTGGACGTGTAACGAAAGTCACACATCAACATTGTGTGTTAATTATGATTAATCATTCGGAATAAAATAAGGGCATACACATATTATGTCAATAGAAGCCGCCTCGAAAATAAATAATTAGTTCAGTCATGAAAAAAATGTGTAGCAAAGGAAACAATATTTGCTCGGCTTATTGTTTCGCTGAAAACAAATGCGTGTTTTGAAGCAATGACAATAACAAAACCCATCCCCACCGGTAGTATTAAACGATGTACGTTTTCTTGCCTGCGGTCATATATTGAGACTAGTACGGCAAAACCCCTCAGGTGATGCCTTTCACTTTTTTTTACATTTGGCAGGAGTTTGCGGACTTGGTTTCTATTGTTACACACATATGTGTTGTAAGAAAAACACATCACAGGGGAGCTTAATTTAACTCCTAAATCATTTATAATGGCTTGGTATACCGTCGGAGGGTTTTAAGAAGGACGCATAATTCGGATGGGATATATGGGTGTTATCTTTATTACTGCGTCTTCATATTAACATATCACCCAGTATGAGATGCCTTGGGAACAGGATAGACATGATAATTATGATGATCAAATTATGATGTGCATTACCTTGGAACATAGCTGTGCTTGCATCAGCAGAATCACAGCAACAGTCAGCATTGTAGATGTCATCATAAACCAGATGAATATATTTTCCGTTATTGAAACAGACTGGGAAACTGCGATGTAAAAATATACACCGTTAGCGATAATTGTTATGAAGATCATATTGAAACTGAAAAATTGAAAACAGGTGCTTGCTAGAGATAGAATCTTTGCCAGTGTTTCGTGTTGGCACATTATTGCATCAGTAGTCTCCTCAACACTCGGATCATCGGACTTTATAAGTTGTTTAAACTTTTCGTCAATTTGGATAAATTCACGCCAGAGGATATAGACCAATGGGGTTGTTAGGGTAAGAAAGCCATATCCTTGTGCGCAGCTAATGATAAAACTGAAGGTTGTGACACATTTTCCGATATAAATCCAGGGAGATTCAAAGAGCCAGGATGAGTATATGCGAGCAGGCAGCAGATTAAGTCCTTCAACTACTGCCTTGGCAGGTATTGCCGCAAATAGCGGAATGCACGAGAAGGTGATCCACTTCTTCATTTTAGGAACGTTGGCACACAAACAATGTCGTTTCTCATAATCATATAAGTGTTTTTTTAGGTGTTTGATATCCTTTGAAATTGTCAGAGAGCATACAATGGCATTGATAAATATTTGTAGATATCCTGAAGATTGTAGCAGAAGGTTTGCAGGCGTCGTCGTCTTGTAGTAAAAGTTTAGGCAAAACAGGGTCGTGACAGCTGATAGCACAGACATGGACACACCAACAGCGGTTCGACGTATTTTCCTGTAGCGCTTAAATATGTCTCCAGTATATATACCCCCAAAAGCGAACATCAATGTACTCCGGGCAAACATGAAATTGGTAAACCCTTGATTGTCAGACACTGGAAGAGGTTCCACTTTCGCCGACATTTTAACGTCCGTCACCTTTGCGGAAACCGACTGCATCAGACCAGTTTCTACTGTAGTGTGTTCACGGTCTCATAGATACGCTAACGAGTTTCTGTAGAATGATCACCATGGAGAGGAAAGCAAACGTCGTTCCATTATGAAATTATCATAAAGCGTGAAGCGGATAATTATTCCAAATATGTTGTATTTGGACAGTTCCAGTAACGCTGAGGACCTTCAACATTAATGCCTCTGCGTTCTAGTGGTAGAGCGTCCGCCCGGAGAGCATAAGGTCGTGGGTTCGATCCTCGGCCGCGTTATACCAAAATACGTTAAAGACTCAATATACTCTGTCTGAGTGGGGTATTCCTGCGGCATGGTATCTCAGTGGGCTAGCACTATACAATCGGCATTAGTCTTGTCTAGTACAAGCAGCCACACACACAAACACACTAGCCTGCACGTCGCTATATAAGCACGTTAATCTTGGAAACCCACGTTAAACCCCATTTCACTTCACCACCTTCAGCATTTATGGGCCGCCTCCGTGGTCTAGAGGTAGAACGTCCCCTTGGAGGACGAAAGGTAGGTGGTTCGATCCACGGCCGCGTCATACCAAAGACGTTGAAATATGGTACTTGTTGTTACCCTGCCTGGCGCTCGACATTAAGGGGCTAAATCAAGGACTGGTCGGCTCGGAGTCAGTATAATGTTGGGTATTCATGTTCAACTGCGACATGGTATCTCAGTGGGCTAGCACTATACAATCGGCATTAGTCTTGACTAGTACAAGCAGCCACACACACATGCCTGCACTTCGCTGTATAAGTGCAACAATCTTGAAAGCGTCGTTAAACCCCACTTTCCCTCACCTTCAACAATAAGGCCATATGCGACTTTGAATATTTGTTGGTCACTTCAGACTTCATGGCGGTCCATGCAAAATACATTTTCTGATTTGTAAAGTTAGTTATCAAAAAGGTCTGAGCTTCATGTAAATTTAAAATGTGTATGCGTGTCGCGTATTAACAGACATGCATATTTGCACAAATGTATAGTGGTAATGGCTTCATGTCTCTTTCTTATCACAAAGTAACACAATCACTTAAACACTCATCATGTCCGCTCATAATGCTAGAAAACCACTACAACAGAGCATCAGCAACCACCACCCTTACGCTCTCCGGACAGACGCTTATACAAATACATTACTGACACAACTATGCGACACGTATTGATTAGCTTTCGATAATTGCTGTATGCTGTAGGTACCTTCCTGAGACTCCAATATCTGTTCGAGGCGGCTACAAAAGATGTTGGTCGAGGGAAGGTAATACTCTTCAAATGGGTTAATTCGGTGAGTGAGTGAGTTGGGTTTTACGCCGCTTTTAACAATATTCCAGTTATATCACGGCGTGTCAGCTTAATGTGGGAGGAAAGCCCGAAGTGATGCAGGTCTCAGACGTTTACCACTTCGGTGAAACCAACGAGCACGGGTATGGTGCTGACAAACCTAGAAATATAGTCGGGGCGAACCGGGATTCGAACCCACAATCATAGGTCTCTGGCGTGCCCAAGGGACGCAACCTTGCACAGCGAATCGCAGCGCCTTAGACGACTGGGCCACCCGTGCCCCCGGGTTAATTTAAAGTGGACCCACCTCCCTGATATAATGCATTGAGCATCTGCCAAGAGGGCAGTGGCTTGATCCCCTGGCCGCGATAAACCTAAATACGTTAAAAGATGCCTGTGCTCGGCATTAAGGGGTTAAAATAAGTGTTATGCCGACTGGGAGTTATAAAATCTCAGAATGGAATTTTTTTGTTTGTTGTTTAACGCCGCACTCCTGTCATAGCGGCACATATTTGTACTTATGTGTACACATACAATATGCGTATGCTATTGAGGGATCGCATCTTTCAATGTGATTTCTTCGACTATACGGGGGCCCCGTTGGCCCAGTCGTCTAAGGCGCCGTAATTCGCTGTGCAGAAATCTATGATGGTGGGAGAGAAATCTTTGATGGTGGTTCGAATCCCGGGTCGCCCCGATTATGTTTCTAGGTTTGTCAGCACTATACCCGTGCTCGTAGGTTTCACCAAAGTGGTAAACGTCTAAGACCTGCATTACTTCGGGCTTTCCTCTCACATTAAACTGACAGACGTGATATAACTGGAATACTGTTTAAAGCAGCGTTACACCCAACTCACTCACTCTTCGACTCTACATTCCATCCGTCCCTGCTCGCGGCATTCCAACCATACTGTCAATGTCCGGCAGTACAGCACAGCAATGACGGTTTAACTTTGTGAACACGATGACAAAACATCTCTGGAATCCTGGACTTATTCCTCCGGGGCGTTCTACATGATATGGTCCTCAGACAAACTACCTGCTTTCTCCTGCGGGCATATAAAACCAACACCTAATTATGTACATCGCAGTTAAATGGCCCAATGCTGCTTAAAGCCACAATATCCCAATTATATCACGGCGACTGTAAGTAAGGTGTCTGGACCAGTAAAACGAACTTATCATAATTGTTCTTAGAATATATACATCTAAATCTAGATTTATAGTTATTCATCCTCACCATCAAACACCCATATTTACAGCTGGGCCCATTTGCACAAAACAATTTTCGAGCTGTGTTCGACTGTGTTTTGTTTGTTTGTTGTTTAACGCCGCACTCAGCAATAATCTAGCTATATGACGGCGGTCTGTAAATAATCGAGTCTGTACTTGACAATACAGCAATTGGGATCGATGACATGCTTCAACAAAGTCAGACCACCCGATCCCGTTAGTCGCCTCCTATGAAAGCATAGTCGCCTGTTATGGCAAGCATGGGTTGCTGAAGACCTATTCTACCCCGGATCTTCACGGAACGATTGTGAGAACTGGAGTTATTATTGACTTGAATTGTTATACTGTGGAAATACATGACTGCACTGATAATTAAACCTCTGTCAGTGGCATGTACAATATGTATATTTATAACATTCAGTTTTAAACAGGAAAAAGCAACATTTTCGAGAACACGGAAAGGTTCATACGTCCATCATTTCCATGAGTGGAAAGTCTGATCTTCCCAAATAATTACTCAAGGTTTTGATATATGGCATTTAACTTAGGAAATTATTTCCAAGCATTGAAAGTTTGGAAATGTTTGGAAAGGGATATGTTTCTTGCAGTATTATTTTTGCCGTCTTTAAGTACATTTCAGCGAAGACAGCTATTGATTCTTCAGCCTCAATCTACAGGTGCAAGCTACAAGCACTAGCTACAGGCACTAGCTACAAGCACTAGCTACAAGCACTAGCTACAGGCACTAGCTACAGGCACTAGTTACAGGCACTAGCTACAAGCACTAGCTACAGGCACCAGCTACGAGCACTAGCTACAGGCACTAGCTACAAGCACTAGCTACGAGCACTAGCTACAGGCACTAGCTACAAGCACTAGCTACAGGCACTAGCTACAAGCACTAGCTACAGGCACTAGCTACAGGCACTAGCTACAAGCACTAGCTACAGGCACAAGCACTAGCTACAGGCACTAGCTACAGGCACTAGCTACAAGCACAAGCTACGAGCACTAGCTACAGGCACTAGCTACAGGCACTAGCTACAGGCACTAGCTACAGGCACTAACTACAGGTACTAGCTACAGGCACTAGCTACAAGCACTAGCTACAGGCATTAGCTACAGGCACCAGTTACAGGTACCAGTTATAGGCACTAACTACAGGTACTAGCTACAAGAACTAGCTACAGGCACTAGCTACAGGCACTAGCTACAAGCACTAGCTACAGGCACTAGCTACAGGCACTAGCTACAAGCACTAGCTACAGGCACTAGCTACAAGAACTAGCTACAGGCACTAGCTACAGGCATTAGCTACAAGCACTAGCTACGAGCACTAGCTACAGGCACTAGCTACAGGCACTAACTACAGGTACTAGCTACAGGCACTAGCTACAAGCACTAGCTACAGGCATTAGCTACAGGCATTAGCTACAGGCACCAGTTACAGGTACCAGTTATAGGCACTAACTACAAGCACTAGTTACGGGCACTAGCTACAGGCACTAGCTACAAGCCAGGTACAGGCACCAGTTACAGGCACTAGCTACAAGAACTAGCTACAGGCACTATCTACAAGCACTAGCTACAAGAACTAGCTACAGGCACTAGCTACAGGCAGTAGCTACAAGCACTAGCTACAGGCATTAGCTACAAGCACCAGTTACAGGCACCAGTTACAGGCACTAGCTACAGGCACTAGCTACGAGCACTAGCTACGAGCACTAGCTACATGCATTAGCTACAGGCACCTGTTACAGGTACCAGTTATAGGCACTAACTACAAGCACTAGCTACAGGCATAAGCTACAAGCACCAGTTACAGGTACCAGTTATAGGCACTAGCTACAAGCACTAGCTACGGGCACTAGCTACAAGCACTAGCTACAGGCACTAGCTACAGGCACCAGTTACAGGCACTAGCTACATGCACTAGCTAGAAGCACTAGCTACAGGCACTAGCTACGAGCACTAGCTACAGGCACTAGCTACAAGCACCATTTACAGGCACCAGTCCAATGGATGTTTCTAACTGTGGTCGCCTGTAGTAACCCCAGCCAATACACATGTAGAATGGTGCCGAAAGAGATGTATCTTTAAGATTTACATAGACATATGGACCATGGGTTAGCTGGCCTTGGGTGGAGAATGTAAACTGTTCACGTTATGCATGTATGTGTTGTTCATATTATTTGACCATGTTCTAAGAAATCATAACACAGCTTTATCGTGCTAAAAAAGGACAGCTGCAAGGACGATAAGGCTAAGATTCGCCGCGACATTTGTATTAGCAATGTAATTGTACCTAGATATTCCCATATGGTACTCATTTATCCTTTATCTATTGTTTATCTATTGTCTGAGGGCCATGGTATCCACCGTAAGAAAATGAGTCCTTGCTAGTTAGTGAAATGTATATCGCAGGTCCAATGACGATGATATTGTGAACTCTATTTGTGCAAACTGTTCATCTGGAGAAGTAGAGGATGAATACCATGTCTTACTTACATGTGAAACGTATTCCCATTTAAGGTATACATTTCTCCCCATGTTGCAAGGTATTTTTAAAGACCGCCAGTTGATGATAAATATGAAAAACTCTGAAAATCCTGATATGATCGATATTGTTTCTGTTTTCTTGAAAAATGTCTTTAAAATGAGGAATGTGTAACTTGATTTAAAATCTAATCATGTATATCACGTGACAAATGTTAATACCCTATCTTCTTTGTATTATGGGCCTTGATGCCTAAATTACTGAATAAACTGTGTGGGGTTTAACGTCCCGTTGAGGATTATTAAACTTAAACAACAACGTGTGTGTGGCTGCTTGTACTAGTACAGACTTATGCTGGTTGTATTGTGCTAGCTCTGAGATATCATGCCGCAGTTGAACATGGATTCATTGCTCAGACAGATTATACTGCCATGGGGGCCGCCCAGTCCATGTTTCATCCCGTTAATGTCGGAAGTGACATCTTTTGGTACGACGCGTCTGTAGCGGCCATAAAATTTCCGAGTCCCGTGATGGGATTCGAACCACGGACCGTCTGACCCGAGGTCGGACGCCTTGTCCACATGACCAAAGAGGTTAACCCCGTCAGCAAGCTGACAAGGTAAGGATGTCATCTGTGGGATGACTCCACGCCCTGCTACATATGCCGCCGTCAACAGAAGGCACGTCCCGGGCCGCATAGTAGAGTACTGAGACTAATTTTGCTCAAATTTAATAATTTTTTTATGAACATGCTCAGCCCCACGTTGGGCGCCAATGTAGCGGCCATACACTTTCCGAGTCCCGTGATGGGATTCGAACCACGGACCGTCTGATCCGAGGTCGGACGCCTTGTCCACATGACCAAAGAGGTTAACCACGTCAGCAAGCTGACAAGGTAAGGATGTCATCTGTGGGATGACTCCACGCCCTGCTACTCGTCCAAAGGATCGAACTCTCTACGCTCCACAGACCACGGAGGCGGTCTGACTGGACTTGAACCACAAAACATTGTAAATGACTACACATTCTTTATTGTGGGTTCTACATTGACAAAGACGCTAATGAATGTACAGTATAACAGCACCATGTCCTCACTAATATTAGTTTCGATGTTCTGCTTAAACATACGTAATTACAATACCACATACATACTTGATTCTGTCACGTGGCTAATGAACTTCGATCAACTTGAAACAAAAACTAATTTTGAACCAAAGCGAGTGTGTCATGCTTAAGGCTGATGTGAACAGAGTTAAGTTAAAACATCTCGGTTAAATGTGGGAAGAAAGCCATAAGTGGCGCAGACCCGAGACGGTTATAACTTGGGCGAATTGTCTATGGTGCGGACAGATCTAGCTTCGTAATAAAGGCGAATCAGGAAATCGAAACGATCATCGTATTTCTGCTCTTCTGTCCCCAAGACCCCAGAGAATAAATCTAGAAAGGAATCAAACTCAGGTCGAGAACGAGAATGTGATTTTTCTCCTAAAAAAATGTTTGTCTTTCCCCCTTTATGGACCCATTAGTTCAAGTTGTTACTATAAATATGTTTGCAAATCCGAAAAACAATAATAGGAAAAGAAGTAAATTAGTACAAATTCTGACTAATGCATATATGCCAACATAATGAAAAGTCTGACAGTAATAATGACAAATATTTGCGGATGGACAAAATAAGAAATATGGACAGTTATTATATATAGTGATAAACAAGAGAATTATAATAAACTGATAAACAGTTGGTCACCGTAACAATATGCATGGAAAACCAGTGCTGACAAACATTTTGTTTATATGTACATATTTTAGTTTGGAGGCTCAGTACTATGTTCAAATTGTTCAAGGGAAACATGAGAAAGTAAAATGTTAATAACTGAAAAAATATGATAAAGCAACAGTTGAGCATATGGTCATTGCACATGTATGGTTTCATGCAAAAGATATTTATTAGTTTGAGAGTTATAGCTCAGAGACGAAGCCTTGATACCTCGAGTTAAAGTAAAAATAGAAATGTAAAAAATAATATACGGCATTATCTTACTATTATCGTTCTCCCAGCACTATTGCTGGATGTTGAATGCCGTCGTTATCTCTATAGAACTTTTATACATCTGTTTTGAGAACATCGTGTAGTGACTGAGGAGTTGAACGACATCGTCTTTGTAACGTGCTTCCTGCTCCATATTTCTCTCCTTTCCCTTAGACATTATCCCAAAGTAATTTGGTAATTATGACGACGATGACACGAAGTGGCTGAGGAGAGAGTGTGGGTAATTATGCTTGTTGCTAAACACCTAGGTGTATCATGTGATGTCACTGAACGAAACTAGTTCTGACAGGGGTCCTTTTGAACTGTCGTGGAGCTGAGTGGGTATATAAAACTACGGTGTGCAGTCGCAGTATCATTCTAAGAAGAAGTGATGTTTACTGGAAGGGTTGAGTTTAGCCTGAAAGCCTCTGGGACGACACCAAAATGGAAAATGGCATCCCCCCATGTGGCAGTTGCCATGAGCAACAGAGGCACAGCTAAAATGTTCATCATGATACCTGCTGACGCCTGAAAGAAATAAGGAGGAATGGTGAACTATGAACAATGTACATTAAGTTTGGAGGCCATCTTCTAAACTTACAAATTTATATTGACGTAAATGGGTAACACGTTTGTTGTTTAACGCCGCACTCAGCAATATTCCAGCTATATGATCGCGGTCTGTAAATAATCGAATCTGGACAAGACAATCCAGTGATCGATATCATGAGCATCGATCCACACAATCGGGATACGATGACATGCATCAACCACGTCAGCGAGCCTGATAACCGATCCCGTTAGCCGCTCTTACGACAAGTACTGTCGCTATTTACGGCAAACATGGGTTGCTGAAGATCTATGAACATACTGTCATAACTACCCGAGTAGTGTCAGAATACGTCTTGAAGGGCCTTGTTATACTCACAGCCAAATGTAACTGCGATCTTGATCTTATATATAACACATTTGTTTACAAGATTCACAAAACTAAAAGCTACCCTTCTTTGAAAATTTACAAGTGTTCAAATGGGCTAATGATTATTCCCTCGGCTCATAGGCTTTCATAAGTAGAAATTTTATGTTATGTAAAAATATCTAGTTGTCTTCATAGATGGGTGCAATGCTATACATGGCTGTGTACACAATTCGAAGTATTGTCAATTTGTGAAGAGATAGATCTCGTATCATAATTATATTTAAAATATTAATGGGTATGGGTATAGCCATATTTGTAACTGTCTCATATACTATCAAGTCATCCAGTCAGCTGTTCATAGAATTTGCAAAACAACATGCAAATCTAAAAACACACAATGTTTATGCCCTTAACTGATCCCGATAGACTTACCATGTCGGATACTTTTATATGACCGTAGCCGAAGACGATAGCATTAGGGGGCGTGGCGGCGGGCAACATGTATGCAAATGAAACAGATAGAGCGGCCGGAAACATGTAGAACAAGGGGTTCACTCCAGTTCCAATAGCCTGCAAAATGGAGTGCAAACGTTTCACTTAATAGTCCAGATACAACATCAGCTATAAATAGTAATGAATGTATATGCACAGGGAACGTCTTTTGTCGACATGGACCTTGCTTGTCAATATTGTACAAGTTTGTACATGAGGTGAGGTGAGGTGAAATGGGGTTTAACGTCGCGTCCAAGATTATTGCACTTATATAGCGACGTGCATGCACGTGTATGTGTGTGTGTGGCTGCTTGTACTAGTCCGGACTGATGCCGATTTATAGTGCTAGCACACTGAGATACCATGCCGCAGTTTAACATGAATACCCCACTCAGACACAGTATACTGACTCCGAGCCGACCAGTCCTTGTTTGAGCCCCTTAATGCCGAACGCCGGACAGGGTAACAACAAGTACCATCTTTTAACGTCTTTTGGTATGACGCGGCTGGGGATCGAACCCCGTACCTTCCGCTCTCCGGGCGGACGCTCTACCTTTAGACCACGTAGGCGGTCAGTTAGTACATGAATATTAGGACTATGTCCGCAAATGTGCATCACAGTAGTGGATATTTTTTTCCAATTTTGTAATGCCTTTTGTTTTTGTGTTGTTTGTTGAGGAAACTATGGACACAATCAATAACATGATTTTTTTATGTAAGTAATTTTTACGAAATTGGTAGAGATTCAGATATATATGATACAAAAATTCGGACACATATGTCATATGTTGTAGTTTCTTACGTCTTGATACTACATGTTGACCAGCGACAAGCTGTGCGACATTTTTATTACAAAGGATATCATCACTGACTTAAAACCTCTAATTAGTGCGCGTACAAGAGTGTAGTTTTTTTATCATCACTGACGTAAAATCTGTTACAAAAATATACTAGCGACATAAAGAAACTGTGCACGAAGAAAATATAGATATAAGGGCACACCGTCCATATATGAAATATAGGTTTGAACACAGCAATTATTGGAGACATTCAAACGCTCATGCACGTGCCATGCGATATGACGTCATTGATGGGGGCCTATGGACGTGCAATGTGTTACTGCACGTGCCTCTTGTGCAGCTGTACACAGCATGTGCAACTCAAAATTCGCTGTCACTTTGGAAAGCATGATCTGTGGTCACTCAAAAATTCAAAACTTCTTAGGCGCAGACACAAGCATATCACAAGCAAATCATGCCAAGATTGACAGCTGCACAGCGTCATGAAGCCATTGCAATGATCCGAGCGGGAATGAGGCAACAACAGGTGGCAACACATTTCCAATGACATCGTAACACGATATCGGCATTGGCGAGGCGTTATCAGAACACAAATGACGTTGCCGACCACCCACGTTCAGGACGTCCCCGAGTAACGACGCCAAGACAGGACAGATGGATTCGAGTTACACATCTCCGACACAGGTTCCAAACGGCAGTAACAACGTCCCAGACAACTCCTGGACTGCGCCGTATCCATCCCAACACTATCAGGAATCGTTTACGTCAGTACGGGATTCGACCACGACGCCCTGCCATACGTCCCATCCTGACACACCGTCATCGAGTCAACCGTCTAAGATGGTGTCGAAATCATGTTCGCCAACCTCGAATATGGTGGAGAAATGTTGTCTTTACAGATGAATCGAGGTTCAACATTTCCCACAGTGACGGGTGCGACGTGTCTACCGGCGTTTGGGAGAACGTTATGCACGCAACTGTATTGTGGAGAGGAATCGTTTTGGAGGTGGCTCTGTGATGATTTGGGGTGGGATAACAGCACGGCACCGAACCCCTTTGGTGGTTGTTCAGGGCAATCTCAGCGGTGTTGGCTACAGAGATCAGATTCTGAGGCCTGTGGTCATTCCTTTCCTGCAACGTCATGGCCCGGGATTGACATTTCAACAGGCCAACGCTCGTCCTCACACGGCTAGGGTCGCAATGGATTTCCTTCACCATAACAATGTCATGTTACTGCATGGCCTGCAAATCCAGATCTCTCCCCAATAGAGCATGTGTGGGATTAAATGGATCGCCGTCTGCGTCGTCTTCCACATCCTCCAGATAACGTCCGTGACTTGGCACAGGATTTGAGGAGGATATGGCAGGCCATTCCCCAGGCCTTCCATGCCCATTTGGTGGACTCCATGCGTCGCCGATGCACTGCTGTGATTCACGCACAGGGTGGTCATACCCGTTATTGACTTGGTGACTTTGTCGTTTGACCCCCTACTCCATTTTGATCTTCTGACGTCATCGTAACAGATGTTGTTCAGGTCCCGTTGACATTTTCTTATGGTCCGATCATTCAGCTGCTACGGCGTCTACATCATTTTGTTCTCGCTGCGTGTATTTCAATCCAGAATATATTTTCTCCGTGCACAGTTTCTTTATGTGGCTCGTATACATCAATGCGCGTAAAAGAGTGTATTTTTTACCATCACTAACGTAAAACCTATCACAAAAATACATCAGTGCGCGTAAAAGAGTGGATTTTTTTACCATCACTGACGTAAAACCTATTACAATAATACATCAGTGCGCGGAAAAAGAGTGGAGTTTTATATTTATTCAATTTCTTGAACTATATGGATGTTTCACATTTCTAACATTTAAATGAATAACAAACAGGAATGGGAATGGTTATATTTGAAATATCCTCACATGGTGAAAGGTGTTTAACATGTCAAGAGTATCGTTAGACGGATTTTATGTCCGTTTCAAACATCCTCGTCTCTAGACGGAAAGATCGTATTATTTATCATGACAACTGTGATGATACTATACTTATTCATAAGGATAAAGGATGTCATAAATTGAAAGGCTAATCAGTGGTCATGACTTTAACAGTCAAGTCATGACCCAGACATCTGCCTGGAATGATCTGTGTATGATCTGGCAGGGTTCGGAAGTCAGCATTTGGAATCTGGAGCCACTCCTTTTGCAGAGTCGAAAAGAAACAGTTCATATTGTGAAACACTACAGGAAGTTGGCATACACGACGCCCAAGTTCATCCCCTAATGTTCGATGGGGTGACGTCAAGCGTATACTCAGATGTTACAATGTTTTAACAATTCAATTGACACAGTTGAGCTGTGTGTGGGCGGGTGTTATACTGCTGGAATTCAAACTGACAATCACTCATACGCACGATGAGTAACCTGAATACTTAATCACGGGAACGAATTACTGTTAGTCGTCCATCAAGACGGATGAGACAGCTTCAGGAATGCTAGTCAACACCATTTGTGATCCACCTCGATCAGTGGTTCTGTGGAATGCTGCGCCTTTGGTAACGCAATGAACATGACTCAAAGCACAACTCCAAGCATCTGTTAAGTCGAGTAGGAACATAGACTCATCACTGATCATGGTGTGCCGGGCGTGCCAGGATCCTCTAATTGCCTGGTCAAATTATAAACTCGCCTTATCCTTAGTTTATCAACACCATACACAAAGCTGTGATATATTTAAAATATCGTTAAACGCGGCTTTAAAATCAGCCCTTGATGTACAATGTAGGTTGGGTCATGTCACTGTTAACGTCAATATCATCAGTTTACAGACAGTGAGTGAGCGTAACGTACCAGGTTGGATAGGATTGGCATGACAAGTGTTGCTGTAGCCGTGTTGCTGGTGACCTCGGTTGCTGCGGCACACACGTAACAGATGATCAGAAGCAGCAGCCACGGGTTCAGGTCCTTCAATACCTGGAGCTGAATACCAATCCAGTAGGACAGACCAGACTCCTGAAATTAACCGGGGAAAAAAGAATTACTATTTCAGTTGTGTCATTTTCAGAGTGAGTGAGTAAGAGTAGAGTTCGGGGATTTACCTAGTATTTTAAACTAACGGACAAGCAGTCAGAGAGAATTTTTTTTTTTTCAATATTTGTGAATAGGGTTATTACTTATATTTATATTTATTTAATACTTATATTTAATTCAATACGGTATCCCTTAGCAAGAGTATATTCACATCCGAGAAAACAAACATGTGTCAGTGTGAATGAAGGCTCTACCTAACAGCCCTCAGCAAAAAGCATATCTGCCTCCTAGAAAACAAACATGTGTCAGTGTGAATGAAGACTCTACCTCACAGCCCCCAGCAAAAAGCATATCTGCCTCCAGGAAAACAAACATGTGTCAGTGTGAATGAAGACTTTACCTAACAGCCCCCAGCAAAAAGCTTATCTGCCTCCAAAAAAACAAACATGTGTCAGTGTGAATGAAAACTCTACCTCACAGCCCCCAGCAAAAAGCTTATCTGCCTCCAAAAAAACAAACATGTGTCAGTGTGAATGAAAACTCTACCTCACAGCCCTTAGCAAAAAGCTTATCTGCCTCCAAAAAAACAAACATGTGTCAGTGTGAATGAAAACTCTACCCCACAGCCCTTAGCAAAAAGCTTATCTGCCTCCAAGAAAACAAACATGTGTCAGTGTGAATGTAGACTCTACCTAACAGCCCTTAGCAAGAGCATATCTGCCTCCAAAAAAAACAAACATGTGTCAGTGTGAATGAAGACTCTACCTAACAGCCCCCAGCAAAAAGCTTATCTGCCTCCAAAAAAACAAACATGTGTCAGTGTGAATGAAGACTCTACCCCCCAGCCCCCAGCAAAAAGCTTATCTGCCTCCAAAAAAACAAACATGTGTCAGTGTGAATGAAGACTCTACCTAACAGCCCCCAGCAAAAAGCTTATCTGCCTCCAAAAAAACAAACATGTGTCAGTGTGAATGTAGACTCTACCTCACAGCCCTTAGCAAGAGCATATCCACCTCCAAGTAGAAGGAAAAGCGCCCACGGCATCTTCTCGTGGAGGACTTTCCATGTTAGCAGCGGTGTGATAGGAGCGTCGGCTTCTGCCTTTTCTTCTTCAGTCATTTCATAACCTGTAGTAAAAATCATATTGTTGCTAAACTTGCCGGGATTTCTTTGTGGAGACTAGATACTCTTTCAGCCACAGATGCAACACAAGATATTTCAATTCAAACTATGAGTCTCAATATCTTTTCACAATAAAACCTTACAACAATGTCATTTTGTTTGTCATACAACAAAGAGATTACTTACTCGCAATGATATTAATAGAACTTTCGCGTAAATAACCTTGACTGCTTTTTCATTCACGTGTTATACACACGATGAAGATGTCATTTCAGAGCCTTTTGAATTGTAAAGTGAAATCCACGAAAAGCTCATGTTATCGGAAGGAAAAATTGCATAACTGTTAACCCCCAACCCAAACTTAAGGAATTGGAGATTTATGTCGACATATGTCAACTCGCCACTGGTATGCCACACAACTAAATAAATCTTAATCCAAAGCTGTCACGTGCACTGATAAACTGTGAAATCGCAGTGTTTCATGTTTCTCTTTATATTAAAGTCGTATTATTATATTAATTCCCCTCTTACGAACAGCAATGGCGTGCCTAGTTTAATCCGGGTCTGTACGGGGATCATTTTGATAAAACGCATATGTTCAGACCCGTGAAGATCCCGGATAGAATAGGTCTTCAGCAACCCATGCTAGCCATAAATGGCGATTATACTTGTCGCAAGAGGCGACTAACGGGATCGGGTGGTCAGGTTCGCTGACTTGGTTGATGGATGTCATGGTATCCCAATTGCGTGGTTGATGCATGTCATCGTATCCCAATTGCGTGGACCCATGACGGTCCGGGGTAGAAGAGGTCATCAGCAACCCATGCTTGCTTTAAAAGGCGACTGTGCTTGTCGTAAGAGGCGATTAATGGGATCGGGTGGTCATTCTCGCTGACTTGATTGATGCATGTCATCGTATCCCAATTGCGTGGATCGATGCTCATGAAGTCAATCACTGGATTGTCTGGTCCGGACTCGATTATTTACAGACCGCCGTCATATAGCTGGAATATTGCTGAGTGCGGCGTTAAACAACAAATAAACAAAACAAAACATATTTTCAGCGTGTAAACGGGCAGGGTGGTTTGTTTTATCCTTGTTTTATATTCCGCAAATGTACGTACTGTTTCTCCGGAGACAGAAGACACGTGGTAGTTTGGAAGGAAGAACAAAAAGCAGCACTGCCATCAAAACAGCAGGGGTAGAATCTTTAACCAAGCTACAGGGAAGAAAATATCTGGCTCTTACAGGTATATATATCCGGTTTTTCTAATATCGAACATTAAAAGATAAAGGATGAATTTGATCTGTTGAAAATGTTTGTATAATTTTGTAATCGCAGTGAAAATATATTATTGAATGATATTGTTGAATCCAGATGGTTTAGATTAATTTTAACAGGTTTATTGCTATGTATACTAAATAAATAACAGTAACCCAGAATATCTTACAAAGACAGGTAAATTATAATGATTGTCTCTTATTTTCAAATGCAAAACCTACTTATCCTCAAAGAGGTCTCCCCAGCCACCAACTCCGCCGAGATCTCGCGAGATCCAGAAAATAACCAGTAGAAGAAATAGCACCATTACATTGGCTTGGGCGTACCTGTGAACAAAACACGTTACAATGCAGTGAACTATTATCGGACATTATGCAACATGCAGAGGAAAATACCGAATTTTGACACAGTATTGGAATCAGAGAACAGTACCCAATGCTGGTCATAAGGGCTACAGGATCAGGGGAACATGCTCAGGCTCGGTGACTTGGTTTATTGTGTGTCATCCTATCCCAACGGCGTGAGTCGTTATTGATAATATTATAACTGAAAACAACAAGGTAAGAAAACCCAAAACAAACACCTGTATTGGGGTATGATCAACGACGATCTGCTACGATTGGCGACAAATTTTACCCCTCCGTCACAGAGTCTTTGCGATCGGGGATGTCTTTACCAGTGAGAAGCCAATTTTTGCGAAGACATAATGCTATAAATACCACAAATAAGAGCACACATTCTGTGTTTTAAGCGGACATGATGCGGACCACAAGGGGAAGATGTGCGCACAGCGTCGTATGTTTCTCTATTCTTGTATGAGGTATGGTGGTCGGCAATAAGGCATCAATCTTTATATATGCGATGCTTGTTATACGAGTGGTTCACAGGATAGTTTCTCTTTCGACTCTTGCTGATATAGATGTCATTCTGTAGGTAAATAATCAAAAGTCACGACCAATGTTTGGCCCGTTATTTCGTGACCAGTTAACCAGAAGACTTATAACCTTGTGACTGATAACTTACTATTTACAATAATTTTATAAGAATAAATTCCGTTGAAATATATGTATCATTGTTATGTCTATTATTTGAGAATAATGCTTATGTAATTAGACCGCCTCCGTGGTCTAGTTGTGGAGCGTCCGCCCGGAGAGCGTAAGGTCCGGGGTTTGATCCCCGCCGCGTCATACCAAAAGACGTTAAAATATGGTACTTGTTGTTACCCTGTCTGGCGCTCGGCATTAAGGGGCTAAAACAAGGACTGGTCGGCTCGGAGTCAGCATACTGTGTCTGAGTGGTGTATTCATGTTAAACTGCGGCATGGTATCTCAGTGGGCTAGCACTATAAATCGGCATCAATCCGTTCAAGCAGCCACACACACACGCGTAATGCACGTCGCTATGTAAGTGCACCAATTTTGGACGCGACGTTAAACCCCATTGCACCTCACCTCACCTTATGAAATTAAAACTTGAGAGTAATAGAATATGAAGCTCACGTGATAGAACCGAGTTTCTTATACTCTGTCAAGATCACATTTTTCACTTTCTCGGCTTGCAGCTTTCTTATGGGGTCATCCTTCAAGCACGAACAGAAGCCCCTGGAAAAAAACAGGACTTGAAAAGAATTCCTTTCTAAGAAGATGTGTTGTCCCTTTCCTTGGACGACGACTATCGTGATCTCTGTTACAATATGACAGTGCTTCAATCACATACAGATGACGAGGACTAATATCTATAACACGTTTTTCCATTTGACACTCATAAAAATAAAACGTCGACAACATCCAAACCATTTCACGACGAACATAAATAAATGAACTGTTTTCGATATTAGAGCTTTTATTAGGTTGTTTGTTTATTTGTTGTTTAACGCTGCACTCAGCAATATTCCAGCGCTAAATGATCGAATATGGACCAGACACATCATGTGCATCGATCTACGCAAGTGGGATACGACGGCGAACCTGGCTACCCGTAAGACGTCTCTTAGGGCAAGCATGGGTTGCTGATTAGCAATTTTAACCCGGATCTTTACGGGTATTTTATCAGGAACTTTAAGGAGTGAGAGAATCTTGACGTTGTGTTACGCGACAGGCAGCAATATTCTATAGCCACTTTAAAATGCCACTTGAGTCTGAGCAAGGCCAAACAGTGTGACAGTATAAGTGACCGTCTACGACTACACATAGATTACTCATATGGTAAACAACCGATACTCAGTGGGCTCTCACGACAAGCAGGGGGTAGTCGGGACATACTCTTCCCACGAATCCCTTTTGGAATAATTACATCAGACCTGTCGAGGCTATTCATCCCAGCGTAAAACCTTTTCACTCACCAACTCCAACATGATAGGCTACGTTAGAGTGGTCGACCCGTGAATTTGGGTAGAATAGGTCTTGCTTGCCGTAAAAGGCGACTATGCTCGTCGAAAGAGGCGACTAACGGGATCGGGTGGTCAGGCTCGCTGACTTGGTTGATGCATGTCATCGTATCCCAATTGCGTGTGATCGATGTTCATGACCCATGAAGATCCGGGGTAGAATAGGTCTTCAGCAACCCATGCTTGCCGTAAAAGGCGACTATGCTTGTCGTAAGAGGCGACAAACGGGATCGGGTGGCCAGGCTCGCTGACTCGGTTGATGCATGTCATCGTTTCCCAATTACGTGGGACCAATGGCCATGAAGATCCGGGGTAGAATAGGTCTTCAGCAACCCATGCTTGCCGTAAAAGGCGACTATGCTTGTCGTAAGAGGCGACAAACGGGATCGGATGACCAGGCTTGCTGACTTGGTTGATGTGTCACTGATCCCAATTACGTGGGTCCCGTAAAGATCCGGGGTAGAATACGTGGATCGATGATCATGATATTAATCACTGGATTGTCTGGTCCAGACTCGATTATTTACAAACCGCCGTCATATAGCTGTAATATTTCTGAGTTCGGCGTTACACAACATACAAACCAAACAAAACCAATTGCGTGGATCGATGCTCATGACATCAATCACTGGATTGTCTGGTCCAGACTCGATTATTTACAAACCGCCGTCATATAGCTGGGATATTGCTGAGTGCTGCGTTAAACAACAAACAAACCAAACAAAACCAATTGCGTGGATCGATGCTCATGACATCAACCACTGGATTGTCTGGTTCAGACTCGATTATTTACAAACCGCCGTCATATAGCTGGGATATTGCTGAGTGCGGCGTTAAACAACCAAGCAACCAACGTTAGCGTGTTCAATATAATGGTCTGGCTGTACACGTGTGAATGTGTACCTGTCAAGTCTGCAAATTATTCTTGATACAATATCTTAGCGCTAACATGATCGTGACCCCCATGCCTTTATAATAACATAGATTTACTACGATCGTAGCAATAAGATCACTTTGTGGAACGGGACCCAGATCTACCTCTTGTGTTGCATGCCCAATGGTCATGGCAATATGCTTACTTGCATCTGAGGTAGAGAATGTTCAGCCACCCCCAGCAGACAATGAGGACGACGACGGACAGAGGGAATCCGTAGGCCATCCAGGAGGCAAAGTTGACGGGAGACTCGATACCTCGAGAGCTGTACAGTCTGCAACAACAAAAGTCCAAAAGTCCACACTTCACCAGAGTTTGTCAGCATGTATGTCTTAACATTTTAAAATAAATTTGGACCTCGGAGGAACGATCAGGATGCAGACATGGTTCCACCTGAAATACTATGGATATTATATTTTTATATTCATTAATGCCCAATGAGAACGGAAAGAAAAAAATCTAAATTTACACTTATTTTTTCTGCAGACTCATCATGGATGCAAAATAATGGTGTGCGTTTTGAAAAGAAATCATCTTGAACACTTGTACGCTGCTAAATTTGACATCTATATTTCGCCAGTCATAGCTGCTTTCGTGCATACTAAATGTAAAGGACTCTCCCTTGATACACAGGCTGCCGAAACACCATAAGCCTTCCGATAGTTGGAATACTTATTTTGAAATCACAAGTTGATGCCATGTGTTCTCTTCTTCTGTCTTTTGACTTCGGCCAACTGCAATCCGCTACCCAACAAAGAAAACAATAATGGCCTAAACTAACCTTTCACGTATACATCCGTTCACACTATAAGTTCCTGAATTGAAGCAATGTAGGACAAAGTACACTTACTCATCTGTTTGTCCTTTCAGAACGAGATTTGGCCCAGTTCCTGTAAGACTTGCAATACCTCCGGAATTAGCCCCGTATGCAATACAAAGTGATAGGCCCTTCTTCAAACGGGTAAATTCTGCTTCTTCGGGTGTCCCTGGTCCATCGCTGCAAGAGTAAGTCTAATATTGAAGCGTCCCCAAATTATTGCATTGTATCGTAAAAACTACGATGTAATCGAGACTGATTATTCCCTGGCGTTGGATTTGACATGAAGCTGGTGTTATAAGCAGTTCGCTACAATATACACATTATTCAAGAGAATACACATAAAAAGTGTCCGACTTGAGTCTTTCACTATGCAAGATGCGAACTAGGTGTGTCAGTTGATTTAACGCCGCCTTGTAGTGTATTTCATGGACAATCTTAAGCGGTAAAACTCGAAGTGATGCAGGTCTCAGACGTTTGCCACTTTGGTGCTGATTAGTCCAGAAACATAGTGAGGAAGTTTTGGTTGGTTTGATGTTTTACGCCGCACTCAGCAATATTCCAGCTATATGACGGCGGTTTGTGAAGAAAAATCAGGGATCCAAACTCATGGTCGTAGTTTTCAGGAACGCTGGGGAGGCAAGTCTAATTGCGGTGTCTCACGCGACTGGGCCCCCTAAAGCGGGCTGGAATTGGTGCACGACCTAAACGATTTAACATGCAATATAGTGGAATACATTCCGGCGATACACTTACGACAGTTTGGATTGTAGCTTGTCGACTGCTGGTTCGGGGTCTTCTTTTTCAGCTATTTTTTCATTATTTGATTCTTTTCCATTCATTTCAATTGCTGAAAAGGAAATTATCTCAGGAAAACAAACAAACAAGATTCCGAGGATCACTACCAGTGACGGGAAATACATTTATGACATTTGCCGAACAAGACCTCGCAGAGAGTGCCATACAGTTGTCACCTAAACACTTTTAAAGGTCATGCTGTAGAATATAAATCTGCTGTTTAAATGGTTGGTTGAAGGTTGGTTGTTTTACGCCGCACTCAGCAATATTCCAGCTATATGACGGCGGTCTGTAAATAATCGAGCCTGGACCAGACAATCCAGTGATTGATATCATGAGCATCGATCTACGCAATTGGGATCGATGACATGCTTCAACCAAGTCAGCGAGCCTGACCACCCGATCCCTTTAGTCGCCTGTTACGGCAAGAATGGGTGTAATAATGCTGACAACAATGATGACAGCAATGAACATGAGTGCACCTAAGATGATTTGTCGGATACATACTTGCACTTACAAAGGAGTTGTAGGAAAGATAACTGCACGTAAAAAGGAATTGTCGGTTAGCTTATTGCATTCAAGACGTAATTGTCGGTTAGATAACCGCACTTACAAAGGAATTATCGGTAAGAAAACTGCACGTAAGAAGGAATTGTTGGTTAGATAATTGCACTTAGGGAGGAATTGTCGGTTAGTAAACTGTACTTCATGAATTGTAAAGCAAGTATGTACGGGTACTTAAGAACGCCCTATCTCCTAGGAGTGCGAATTATCAGAGTGTACACTCTGTAGGTCCAACTCTTTTTCTTTCCTAACTTCATTCCGAAAAAGCATTCACGTGTTCATTGCTGAAGAAAGAGAAACAATGAAGCCTTTCTTTAAATTTACAAATAGTGGCATACTTGCTTTACAATTCATGAAGTGCAGTTTACTAACCGACAATTCCTCCCTTAATGCAATTATGTGACCAAAAATTCCTTCTCAAGTACAATTATCTAACTCGTATATCAATGATAATAGACAGTGACATGACCTTTTCGGTTCGTGAGTAAGTATGGCTTAATCAATGTATTGAATGTTTTGGAACAGGCCAACCAGACACTGACAGGATTAGCAACGATCAACACCGTCATGGAACAATGACACAAAATGAGCCAGGTCACTCATTGAAACCTCATCACTCGACTCTCACTACAAGCATGGGGGACCTGGTCCTGTCCAGATTCTTCCCCTCTGTGTGATACCACCAGACTCGTACAACTGGAACGTACCTCCCTGGTCGTTGGACAGGTCTCTGGTATCCTTCAGCTGCAGGAGGATGGCGTTTGCGATGGGGATCATCATTGCCGTCGTTGCAGTGTTGCTGATCCACATCGACAAGAACCAGGTTGCTATCATCAACCCCAGCATTAACCTGTTAAAATAATGGTTTCGGTGTGACCATATTGTAAGACTTTCGGTTTGTTATTTTACGCCGCAGACACGTTTTAACACGACAGCCTGGAAATAACGTGACCAGCCAAACCAGTGGTTGATATATGAGCAGCATCTCACGTTATACCAAGTACATCAACCATGTCATCGATCGCAACTGCGTGGATCGATGCTCATGATATCAATCACTGGATTGTCAGGTCCAGACTAGGTTATTTACAGACCGCCGTCATATAGCTGGAATATCGCTGAGTGCGACGTTAAATAACAAACCAACCAACCAACATCAACCACATCACCAAGCCAACCTATTACAATTTGCAGCGCTAAAGACCTAGTGTAACTCGGATCCACACGGTGTCAGAACACAGCGTTTATGATCTGACGTAATCCTTGTTATGTCAAAGAAGACTTAAGCTCGTAAACATATTGGGATCCACATGTATACCAAAAAGGTTTAAGCTATGAACCTCCGCAGAAGATTCTCATGTGCATGTAAGGCTTTCATGTAAGTATACATTCCGTCATCAATTGCAGTAAATAAGTATTATTTATTGCAACATATTTCTTCGCATATTGCAGAAAAGCATATCGTACTACTTGATAACTGGTTTCTGTACTTCGACGTTGTATGAGTTTATGATAGGATCTGATTGTATTGAGAAGGACCCACCATCTTGGCTCGGACCCCACCAGCATCAAAATACGCAGTGCGATTCTTCTGTGTATGTTCCAGTGTTCTATAGCAACAGCCATACACAGGCCACCGAGGAAAACCATGATTGTATCCTGTGTAAATAAATCACCAAGGTTAAAGTTTACACACCCACACACACAATTGTAACCAGCCGACTCTCATCACAAACATGTAGAGTTCCTGGGAACCTCTTCTGGGCTGGAATCCCAGGTTTTATTATCTGGTTATTATCTGGCTTTGGAGAATTATATGTATAGACTGACAAATAACAGTTTGCGCAGTTGTTGTGGATAACAATATTTCATGTATGTTTTATATAGCTACTGACAACTAAAAACTACTACTACTACTACTTCCAAGACTTCTTCAACTACTATTACAACTACTACTACATCTAACACTACTACTACTTCCAAGACTACTACTACTACTACTACTACTACTACTACGACTACTACTACTACTACTACTACTACTACTGATACTACTACTTCTACCATTACTACTGCTGCTGCTACTACTTCTTCCAAGTCTACTACTACCACAACAATAACTACTACTACAACTACTACTACTACTACTACTACTACTACTACTACTGGGTGAAATGAAAGTCACATTTCACTGTTGTTTTCTTTTTCAAGCTGCTGTACATCTTCATGGGAACATTTGACCATAAAATTATTTGGCTTTAATATATGTTTTAAGACTTTAGATGTATCACAAGTACACTTTAATTCTCCAAAGAACATAAGACATTGTGAGTCACACCATGATAAATACACACTTCATCAGAGTTACTTGAGTATATAAATTCTCATTACTCACGTTCATATAAGCCTTTGATATGACTTTAGCCTCGACCACATTGAGGAGGGGGAACATAAAGACGGGCAGTAGCGCGGTCACAGATATTGGCAGCGACTCGCTGATCCAAAACACCGCCATTAGGATGACAACGTACGCACATCGTCCTTCCTGCAATGAAGTAACACGCAAATCCATTAGTGAAGCCATGCGGCTTCCGGAAACCACACATTCAGTAAGTAAATTGTTAGAACAGATGACGAGATGCAGCGCTTTACATTCCGTACAGTAATTATTGAGAACAGATGACGAGATGTAGCGCTTTACATTCCGTACAGTAATTATTGAGAACAGATGACGAGATGCAGCGCTTTACATTCCGTACAGTAATTATTGAGAACAGATGACGAGATGTATCGCATTACATTCCGTACAGTAATTATTCAGTACAGATGGAGAGATGTAGTGCTTTACATTCCGTACAGTATTTATTTAGAACAGATGACGAGATGTAGCGCTTTACATTCCGTACAGTAATTATTCAGTACAGATGGAGAGATGTAGTGCTTTACATTCCGTACAGTATTTATTTAGAACAGATGACGAGATGTAGTGCTTTACATTCCGTACAGTAATTATTGAGAACAGATGACGAGATGTAGTGCTTTACATTCCGTACAGTAATTATTGAGAACAGATGACGAGATGTAGCGCTTTACATTCCGTACAGTAATTATTGAGAACAGATGACGAGATGTAGCGCTTTACATTCTGCACAGTAATTATTGAGAACAGATGGAGAGATGTAGCGCTTTACATTCCGTACAGTAATTATTTAGAACAGATGGAGAGATGTAGCGCTTTACATTCCGTACAGTAATTATTGAGAACAGATGGAGAGATGTAGCGCTTTACATTCCGTACAGTAATTATTGAGAACAGATGACGAGATGTAGCGCTTTACATTCCGTACAGTAATTATTGAGAACAGATGGAGAGATGTAGCGCTTTACATTCCGTACAGTAATTATTTAGAACAGATGACGAGATGTAGTGCTTTACATTCCGTACAGTAATTATTGAGAACAGATGGAGAGATTTAGCGCTTTACATTCCGTACAGTAATTATTTAGAACAGATGGAGAGATGTAGTGCTTTACATTCCGTACAGTAATTATTGAGAACAGATGACGAGATTTAGCGCTTTACATTCCGTACAGTAATTATTTAGAACAGATGGAGAGATGTAGTGCTTTACATTCCGTACAGCATTTATTCTGAACAGATGGAGAGATTTAGCGCTTTACATTCCGTACAGTAATTATTGAGAACAGATGACGAGATGTAGCGCTTTACATTCCGTACAGTAATTATTGAGAACAGATGGAGAGATGTAGCGCTTTACATTCCGTACAGTAATTATTTAGAACAGATGACGAGATGTAGTGCTTTACATTCCGTACAGTAATTATTGAGAACAGATGGAGAGATTTAGCGCTTTACATTCCGTACAGTAATTATTTAGAACAGATGGAGAGATGTAGTGCTTTACATTCCGTACAGTAATTATTGAGAACAGATGGAGAGATTTAGCGCTTTACATTCCGTACAGTAATTATTTAGAACAGATGGAGAGATGTAGTGCTTTACATTCCGTACAGTAATTATTGAGAACAGATGGAGAGATGTAGCGCTTTACATTCCGTACAGTAATTATTGAGAACAGATGACGAGATGTAGTGCTTTACATTCCGTACAGTAATTATTGAGAACAGATGGAGAGATTTAGCGCTTTACATTCCGTACAGTAATTATTTAGAACAGATGGAGAGATGTAGTGCTTTACATTCCGTACAGTAATTATTGAGAACAGATGGAGAGATTTAGCGCTTTACATTCCGTACAGTAATTATTGAGAACAGATGACGAGATGTAGTGCTTTACATTCCGTACAGTTATTATTGAGAACAGATGGAGAGATTTAGCGCTTTACATTCCGTACAGTAATTATTGAGAACAGATGACGAGATGTAGTGCTTTACATTCCGTACAGTAATTATTGAGAACAGATGGAGAGATTTAGCGCTTTACATTCCGTACAGTAATTATTTAGAACAGACCATACCATAAGACGTTAAAAGATTGTACTTGTTGTTACCCTTTCTGGCGCTCGACATTAAGGGGCTAAAACAAGGACTGGTGGGCTCGGAGTCAGTATACTGTGTCTTTGTGGTGTATTCATGTTAAACTACGGCATGGTATCTCAGTGTGCTGGCACTATAAATCGGCAACAGTCCGGACTAGTACAAGGAGACACACACGTGCATGCACGTCGCTTTATAAATGCAATGATCTTGGACGCGACTTTAAACCCCATTTCACCTCACCTCACCTCACCTCACCTCACCTCACCTCACTAGTATGACGTCATGTATAACGCTGATAACGTAAACAGTAATATTCTGTGACGAGTGGCTCAGATATGCGTCCCCTACACTAAATATAGTTATGTTTAGGTTCAGCCGTTAGGTTAATTTATTTCGAGGTAGGTCTACTGAAATACTAAAATAAAATACCAGCCCTCTTGCCCCCAAAGTTCCAATGGGTCTGTTTATTGATGCTTTGCAGGCCTGTTACAGTATGGTAAACCTGTGTTTACCAGTTGTGTTTACTGAGTAAACAAACGGTACTGTGGCACAGATATGTGTGTCCTTGGCGTGACAATGAATGTTTGATGTTAAGATCACCAGCCACGTTTGGGTATTAGAACGACCATATCACTGCTACAATGTATATGACCCATAAAAACGACCAACCCAATTCGGTCTGAATAATAATGGTTGCTTTATAGCATAACAACATAGAGTTTATGAATATGGTAAAATGTTTTTATGCGGACTAAGAACGTATTATTAGTTCAGTTGTATTTGAATCTAAGGGTCCTTATATCACATAAAGGCAATACATATTCAACAAGAAGTCATTCCATGTGGGAGATGGGATTAACGCCGCTTTGAGCAGAATTCCAGTTATATCACGGCTGGTCAGCTTAATGTGGGAGGAAAGGCTATATTACATACAAAAGCTACTAGTACATGTACATGAAGGCACACGTGAACAAAACAATGACATTACTTTCTATTACACAGAACCTGTATGTTGTGTGTTTGGTTGTCATGTTGGTCTCATTTGCGTTGCTACATATTTAATACAAGGCCATTTTGTAATTATGTCTTGCATGTACATTTAAAATACTCATTTGTTGCAATATTTGTTTTATTTTGCAACAGTACAGCATACACAATGCAAAGATTTCTCACTCTGACATATATACATGTAGCGCCACCATATTAAATTATACATCTACCCGAATGTGGCCTAAAGATGGCTTCACAAGAAAAACTTACGTTTTCTGATTTTTGTTAAAGGGAAACAACACTCCAAATATTGACAAATGGATGGGCTTTTTCTTCGCGGATTCAAAATTTGCTTATTGTGGACTATAATTTCGACTGGTTTGACTTGTGTTCGGCACTATTCTCGCTGCGCTACGCGAAGCGACTATCCGATTATCAAAGAATGAGAAGCCGTATATCATAAGAAAGGAGCTGTAGCCAAACTGCCATGTATTACTTGAAAGGGTGAAGCTATCGGTCAACATCATAGTATGCACAGAAAAAAAACTATATACTATCCCTTCAGAGAATTCAAGATACGAACAGGTGATAACGAACTTGGTCAATAAGAATGGAAAATTTGAGATAAATTATCACTAGACATGATGATTTACCATTTAACTTGCATTTCTGATCTGCTAGACATGGTTTTATGTGCGGAAATAAAGGTTACCGTGTGTATTTTCTCGTAAACTAAGCTGGAAATAGCAATCAGCAGCTGTATGGACATTTTCCACCAATCTACCGGTGATTCGGTTGAAAAATACACAATAAATATAACGTCAACGAAATTTGCTGCAATGATTGTACAAACAGTATCTGAAACTGTTATTTTATCAGATATAAAATATTCCAACTTCGAGTTATTTTAGTCGCGGCTTTTACTATATATATGTAAAATAATAAAAACCATAAGCGTAGCACTTTGGAACAACTGATTGCTGCTGCCGGATATGTTTTACGTATGAAACAATTTGATCAGTCACCGTTGAGGCCTCTCGCGTTCCTGCTACCGCAAATGAATGAAAACAAAACGAAAATATCGTAATTACAACCGACAAAAGTTAAATGTATAATGCCAGGCAGTTACCATGTTCGAGGAATGTATCCGTCAATATCTATATAAAGGAACAATTTCCCATATATGTGAAGCTGTACAAAGAAAGTTGTCCCATGTCAAGTGTCTTTGTAACAATCTAATATTTAAAAAAATATATGTATATAATTATAGCGTTTCGGGATATTATGACCCCAGTGCGTTTCTCAATTGATCGCGTAAGTTTGTTTCAGGTGTTCCACATAGGTTTCAAGTCTCATTGGTTAGCTGAGATAGCACACGTGACAACTATATATGCCCATGATGTCCGCGGTTCTTTTAAAATTTATAGAGTAAGATAACAAGATACAATCAATGTATCATCGGCAATCCTTTGAAAAAAGGACGTTGTTTTTACGTCGGCACAAATAAGGGATATTTCGTATGCTTCAGTAAACCTAGTAGTATATAAACCCCTACTTTTGACAAATCCACCGGCAAGATCACAGTGAGAAATCAATAAATGTTTTATCGGTTGATCCTTTGATAGCTGTTTTTTTGCAACTCTATTGATCACTCCTCTCTTGTTGCGCTGGCAAGTGCATATAACATAACACGTAGTACATTCACCACATCATACCTGGATTTTAACCAGGTCGTAGATTAAATATTTACCCCAGACACAACGCGAACCATTGAGTGCTTTATTACCTTGACACCTTGACAGCAGTGACATTATTAAGATATTTTGCAGTCTTTGTCAGGTAATCTGGGTAGCTCTACCACTAATTACACCTGAAATAAAGTCATTAACTGAGCATAAAGTGGAGAAGTATGTTGAATAGGTTTGATATTTATGAAGTCGTATCGACATATATAACTAATAATGCATTGTGAAGAACTTCAACCTTCGGCAAGACAGAACGCCAGATAATGTATCTGTTAGTTTATAAATGGGA